AATATAGAAAGGGGTAGTTGTTGCTGGCTTCATGCTGTGCCTGGAACTCTTTTTTGAAAGTGCACTGGACTGAAATCCCTGCCTGAAATCTGAAATTTCTAGGACCCAGGTTCTAGAAATGCAAACGCGCTCACACACACACACACACACACACACACACACACAGGCACACATGCAGAGACACACAGGCACACATGCAGAGAGACACACACACATATACACACATGTGCACTCTTTTTTGAAAGTGCACTGGGCTGAAATCCCTGCCTGAATCTGGGACCCAGGTTCTAGGAATGCAAACACACACACACACACACTACACGCACACACACACACATGCACACATGATGCACAGACACCCCCAGACACATAGACACACACACACACGACACACACATACATGCACACATGATGCACAGACGCCCCCAGACACACACATACAGACACACACGGACACACAACACACATGGACACACACCATGTGCACAACACAGACACACACACACACACAGAGGCACACACCAACAACAAATGAACCTGACTGCATGCATCGTGTTGCCCCATTGAACCCGCATCCTGCGTCCTGGAAAATGTGTATGTGATGATGAGGCTGAAGAAGACGGAAAGTGGGCCTTTTTTTTACCTTTTTTTTTTTTTGTAGCAACAAATAACTTAGATGCCAATTCTCCTTTCCAGGGAAGTTTTATGGTTGAGTTAGCTGAGTCTCAGGGAGGCGAAATGATTTCCCTAAGGCACTGTCTGACTCACAGCCACACACACCTTCCCTCAGAAAAGACTGGTTCTGCCTGAATTGAAACCCTAGTGTGCCCAGCCCTGAGCCTGTGCCCTCACCATGCCCCGGCCGGGCACGGCAGCCACTCCCCACACCCGTGGTTCTGCCATTCCCAGACCCACCTTCTGTGTTCATTCCTCTGTGTGTGTGTGTGTGTGTGTGATCTTACAGAAAAGGTAATAAATAATCTTTCAACTTATCCTTTTCCACGACTTTTTCCATTCTTGGTATCAAAATCAGAGCACACGTTAATAATCGCCTAATCATTTCTGGTGTTTCTCTTAAAATCTCATAATAAAAACAAATCTCATAATTTATTATTTGGTTATTATTTTGTCTGATAATCTATTACCAGATTTTAAGAGAAACAGCGCATATGACGGTGTCTTTGTGGAGACGACGTGCACCTCACCTACTGGATGTGTCTACTCTCTGTCATGAGGATCCTTTGGAATGGTTTTCAGGTAGAAATGAATAATACTGTTGTATTGGTCAGGAGGAAATTTAACGACACGTGAATTTCTTTATGAAAGTTTCAGTTTGGTCATGCGACTCATTGCAACGTCTCCTGCAACCCTTCTGAAATAGAGAAATGCTGCCCATGAGATGTATTATTTCAGGGGGGAAATGCTAGAATGCCTGATGGAAGTTTCCAGATGATCAAAGCCTCAGGTCTAGCAGGAAGCCTACAGGCTATTTAGTTCCCCCACTATGGTATTTCGTGTTTGAGGCTCACTTTCCAAAACACCAGATGCCTGTAGACCTCTGCAGGACATTGCCTCATGCTCTTCCGTCAGTTTTGGCAACTGTCTAGGCATGCCTTTCTAGAAGGAAGACCAGAATAATGCTAATAATGGCAGCTCCATCTACTGAGGACCATCTGGGCTCCGGGTGACCCACTGTGCACAGTCTTGTGTGGCTGTTCACACAGCCCTGGGAGATGGAGATTCTTACTGTGTTCATCTCATAAAAGAGGAAAATTAAATGTTGGGTGATACTTGCTGTAAGTACCTGCTGTGGACTGGCTGTGGGGTCCCCTGAATTCCTGTGTTGATACCCAAACCCCAAAGGGATGGTATTAGGAGGTGAGCCTTTGGGAGGCAATTGTGTCATGAGGATGCGGCCCGGTGATGGGATCCGTGCCCTTCTAAGAGAAGACAGGAGGGCCCTGGCTTCGTCCCTCTGTGATCCATGCTGTGTGAGGACACAGTGAGCTGGTGGCCAGCTGCCGGCTGGAGGTCAGGATGTCAGGAGGCAGGTCCTCCCCAGAATCTGCATCTGCTGCCTGGATGGTGGGCTCCCAACCTGTGGCACTCAGGGACCACTGTCCACTGCCTAAGCCACCCAGCCTGTGCCCCGCTGCTGCAGCTGCCCAAGAAGGTGGCCGGGACGGAAGTGCTTCTGTGTTCCAGGGGGTTACTCAGTGGTTCTTCCAGTGGCTGCTGAGTGACTTCCCATAGGAGGGGCAGGGCTGCCGTAAATAAGTACGGGAACGGGAGGACAGGAGGCAAAGCTGCTACGGAGGAAGGAAGCAGTGGGCTCAGAGGTGCTGGCTGCGGAGGAGGGGCGCGTCGGAGGTGACAGAAACTCAGCAGGTGCGGGGGTCAGGAGGAAGCCAGAACAGACCCGCCAAGGGGAAAGCAGCTGTGGTTATTCCGTCAGTCCCTAAGACATCTCGGCAGACACTGGAAGGCTGGAGAGCGCCTGAAAGCCCAGCCCTGAGCCCTGGCTCTGCTGAGGCCATTCCTTCTCCTCTGGCTTCAGGTGAGAAGCCGTCTGGCCGAGCTGTCCCTGAGCCTCACCAGGAAGCCTAGGGGAGCTGAACGAGGAGTTTGGGCTTTTCTAGAAAACCAGTCTATAAACAGGCCCTATTTTGTAGCATCCGGGAGGAGCCAGGCGGTCTGTAAAAACCTCCATAATTGTGGCTCGTTTCCGCTTTCACTGCATAGCATGCATTCAGTCATTAGTGTGTTTTCCAGACCAAAAGCAACAGTGTGTTGAGCTAAATGCCACCTCCTGGGTAAAATGATCAATCTCTTTGACTTCTGCAGTAAACACGTTCCATCGGGGGGTCACTAATATGCTTTTATGACCTCACTGTCGGAGACCATACCATTCCCAAGCTTGATAAACTGTTCTTCAGAGCCTTGCTTTTAATTTTATTTTTTATGCAATCATGGGGGACTATAACCAATAAATTTAGCTTGATGCTTTCTCACTATTAACTAATTCTGAAGAAGCCCTCGGGGGTTCGTCAGGCACAAATCCTTTAAAGAATTTGTGCAGGATATTGGAAATGATATTCACCCTGGGACAGAGGTTTAAGCCCGAGCTGCTACTGTTTCCTTTGCCATTAGAGTTACAACTTGGCTAAATGTCATTTAGTCAAAATGCTGGATTCTGCAGGATTTCCAGATAGGCCTGATTATTTGTCTTTAATAAATTCATTGACTCACAGAAGAGGTATTAGATTATTTGTTTGAGGAAAGGATGTGTAAGCGGCACCAGGCTGCTGATACGCACTTTCTCATTAGGTCCACACAGGCTCAAAAGTGCTCAAATCCAAATTAAGCTCCAGAGCCTTTTTGGAAAACACTGTAACAGCTGTGAAATGGAAAGGGGAATTCAGACAAGAGCCTGGCAAGGGAGCTTATCTTAAACGGGCATCAGCCAAAGCCACATCTGTGGCACAAAACCACAGACCTGGCTATTTTCTTGTCAAGGAGGGAGCTTCTTAAAATTGTGCTTTAACACTTGCATTGTTTCTGAGGTTCCACTGCCCTAAAATCCCATTTGCAGAAGCAATTTCTTTCTTTCTTTCTTTTTTGAGACAGGATCTTGCCCTGTTACCCAGGCCAGAGTGCAGTGGCACAGTCTCGGCTCACTGCAGCCTAGAGCTCCTGGGCTCAAGTGACTCTCCGGCCACAGTTTCATGAATAGCTGAAATGACAGGTGTCTGCCCTGATACCCAGAAAATTTTCTGATATTTTTCTAGATATGGGGTCGCACTGTGTTGCCCAGGCTGCTCTTGAATTCCCAGGCTCAAGCAATCTTCCTTCCTTAGCCTCCCAAAGTGTTGGGATTACAGCGTGAGCCATGGCGCCCGGCACCGAAACAGATTTCTGGCTATTGCTTTCAACCACTGAGGACACCTATTGCCAAATGTTATTTTCAAACCAAAGCTCAAATTTGAAAGCTGTCTTAAACTAACTGTGGGAATCATTTCTTGGTTGAATTTCACATGCATACGTCTATCTGGAGGCCTTGGAGATGAAGGTAGAATCAATGACCTTATAGTCCTTTGTGATTCTCTCATAATTAGTTAATCTTAGACCAATAGCTCCCCCACCCCTATACTGTCCCTTCTCCACTGGGATCTAACCTGAAGCCAGGCTAGAAAATTGAAAGTTTTTTCCACAAAATCAGCACTAATCAAATATCATTACAGATGGAATTCTCAATTCCAAAGCTTTCTCTCTTGAGAATGTCACCCAGGCTGGAGTGGACTGGAATGATCATGGCTCACTGCAGCCTCAACTCTCTGGCTCAGGTGACCCTACCACCTCAGCCTCATGAGTAGCTGGGACTATAGGGGCATGTTAATTTTTTTTATAGACCCAGTTAATTTTTTTATTATTTTGCAGAGATGGGTTTTGCCACATTGCCCAGGCTGGCCTTGAACTCCTGTGTCAAGCCTTGGCCTCCCCAAATGCTGGGATTACAGATGTGAACCACTGCACCTAGTTCTTGTTCTATTGCTTATTTCAATCCATTTGTTTGTGTGCTGCTGGGGTGGGTGGGCGTATTGGCTGGATACACTTATATTGGTAAAAGCTAGGGTGAAGCTCTGTGTTCAAGGGATGGATTATGTATCAGAATGCCTTTTTGTTAAAGCAATACATGTTTAGTCAGCACCTACCCATGGTGGGCTTTGGCCTCATGCCTGGAATTCAACAGTAACCAGAACAGGGGACTATTTCTGCAGGTGACTCCTGCTCCACGTGGAGGAGACACATGTGTATGATTCGCCCAGGGGTGAGAAGCTGCATGGAGAGCCGAAAAGCCAAGTCAATGATGTAGGGATTCTTGCAGCATGGTGGGGTGTGGACGTCAACATCTGATGCTACATCTGTGAAAGAGGCATGAAAGGCATGAAGAATCAGCCCAGGAAGGATTGGCTGAGCACACAGATGAGCCCCTGATGCCATTACACTGGATACCACATGGATGCTGTCTATACTGCATACCAAGATGTCGATGCTGTCTACACTGGATACCAAGATGTCGATGCTGTCTACACTGGATACCAAGACATTGATGCTGTCTACACTGGAAACCAAGACACTGATGCTGTCTACACTGGATACCAAGACACTGATGCTGTCTACACTGGATATAAAGACGTGGATACTGTCTACACTGGATATGAAGATGTGGATACTGTCTACACTGGATACTAAGATGTCGATACTGTCTACACTGGATACCACAACGTGGATGCTGTCTATACTGCATACTAAGATGTCGATGTTGTCTACACTGGATACCAAGATGTTGATGCTGTCTACACTGGATACCAAGATGTTGATGCTGTCCACACTGGATACCAAGATGTTGATGCTGTCTACACTGCATACCAAGATGTGGATACTGTCTATACTGGACACCAAAATGTGGATACTGTCTACACTGGATACCAAGATGTTGATGCTGTCCACACTGGATACCAAGACATTGATGCTGTCTACACTGGATGCGAAGACGTGGATACTGTCTACACTGGATATGAAGATGTGGATACTGTCTACACTGGATACCAAGAGATGGATACTGTCTGCACGGGATACCAAGAGGTGGAGGCTGCTACATTGGATATCAAGGTGTTGATTCTGTCTACACTGTATGCCAAGACTTCAGTGCCGTTTGCACTGGATACCAAGACGGGTGTTTCATGTTGGCCATGTAATCATCAAAGCAACAAAATGAGGTCAGTATCATCATATCTATTTCATAGATGAGAAGCCTGAAGTCCAAAGAGTGGAAGCTATTTCCAAATAAATCCAGGTCGCATGACATGGAGAAGAGCTGGGATGTCAGAGCATGTGGTTCTGAAGCAGATTATTTGCCCTCCACGTTCTGCTCTCACTGCCAGACAGCACCCTCTCGGGGGTCAGAGCTTCGCAATCAGCAGGGCGCGTGAACACTGGAATAGTTGTTTGTCCACAGGGAGGTGGAGCAGGGGCTCTTACGTGTTCCAGCGAGACCGTGCTGACCTCGTCACGCCAGGGACACACCCGGAGTCCGTGCTGGGCTCACCTGTGTCTGCCACCAGCCTTTCACTCAGCAGGCAATCAACAAGGACTCAGTAAAGAGAATGGCCTCTGCTAAGCTGCTTGCTCTAAAGTTCCCCGGACACATGTGCACTCAGGAGAGTGAGGAGGTCTGGAGAGTGACGTGAGGAAAGAAGGCTACAGCTGATGAGGCTGCATACCGAAAATCCGCCAAGGGAGTCGACTCCTGCCACAGACACACAGAACCGCAACTGTGGACGGGGATGGGTATGCCGATTTGTTTGACGGTAGTGTTCATTTCACTATTTATAAGTATATCAAAACATGGTGCTGTACACCCTAGATATATACAATAATAGTACGTAATAAAAAATTATTCTCTCCTCTCTGGGGGTGATGGAGGCCGGCGGGAGGGCTCTGACTGACAGGAGTGTTTAACGGCCACAGGTGCAAAGAGGCTGCCTGCCCGCTTTTCCCTCCTGCTTTCCCGAGGTGGAGCCAGATTCAGAGCTTACAGCCTGCCGTGACAAGCACGCACTCTGGACGTACACACTATATACTGAACGTCTGTCTGCTTGTTCACCATGCAGGCTGCTCTGTGCTTGGGAAAATGAAGTTTGGAGTGATTCCTATGGCAATGCCATCCCGTTTCGTGCGTAAATAAGGACTAGAAAGGAAACATCTTCCTGGAGCTGCGTGCGAATGTCCCCCAAAGTGCAGCTCCCCGCCGAGGCCTTGTGCACACGTCTGATTGTGACGCTGCAGGCATGGGGGAAAATGAGGTGAAGTATGAGACTCATCTGTAAGGTGGCACAGAAAGGCGGCAGACGGCCTCACCTGACGTGTTTGTATTTTAAAGGTCTCAGGCAATGACAGTGCGTGGGACGCTTGCTGGGGAGCTTACTCTAGACTCGAGCATTTGTGACTCAGCCTCCACGGCTGGGTTTTAGGAGTCATTCTTTATCTGAAGTAGCAGAAGAGAGCTGGCTTTTCCCCCACGCTGGCCGGTCCTTTCCTGGTTTTTCATCTAAGAACTTGCTGCAGGAGGAACATTTGATTCCAGCGGTCCTGGCGCCAGGCCACCTGCTCACTGGAGGGAGGATTTCCATTAGAAAATTTCAAATTCAAAGTTTGAGGCAGCTGCACCGAGTGTGTGAGAGAGAATGTCAGTCTGATGCGGCCCTGGAAGGAACTCCTGTATTGGAAAAGGGCACTGCCATAAGTACTTCGATGGTAACTTGGACAGGAAGTGATTATAATTCATTTTTTCTCCTTCAGATCATTTAGGCGAATGAACACCCAAAAGCACATTTTTCTTGTCCTTTTTTATATTTTCACTAAAAGCCAAGCAAGGTAGAGACATCCTGGAATGCTGTAATCTCCGCTGGGGAAAAGCAATGAAGGAAACCGGTGTTATCAGGAAACAAGCTCTAGTAGGTAGTAAGCCTAGAATTCCACTTGGAGGTTTAGTAAATCAGCTCTTGATAGGGCTGGGAAAGGATGGGGAAGCTTGCATTCTTTCCTATATTGGAATTTAAGTTTTTAAATTTCTTCTTTCCTTTTCTCACTTTCCTGGTCTGCCCCCACCAATGTCCACCAAGTGAATTTGCTAACGCCACATGTCTCACTTTAATAATGAGCATTTTGTTAGGATAGCTGCACATGCAGCTTTCTGGGATAGCTTCCCAAGGCAGGGTGGACCCAGCGACTGCGGGAGCCCATTTTCATGAAGAATCCTGCACGGAGCATCCCCTGAGAATCCCGAGGCAGGAGTTTGTTTTCCGGTGTACGATTGGCTAGCCGGGAAGTTACTTAATTTTCCTGGTCTCTGCTTCCTCATGTGAATCACCAGGACAGCCGCTCGCTGAGGAAAGAGGTTACTGTGCCACCGTTTCTCTGCAGCTCAGGCCAGAAGCACCAGACAGGGAGGGAGATTTTCCTTTAGAAAATCTTTGCATAGCAGGCACTCACTAAATATTTCTTGAGTGAATGAAAGGAGATAAAATTCACATTCCTATCCATCCCAAGTCACTCTGAAACAGGCCTTTTTAGTGGGAAGGTAAAAATAACTCAAGGATAGAAAGACAGATGAAACAAAACAGGCACTATTTATTACTTTTTTTGTACAGCAAGAGTGGTGGATATGGAACTCCCCGATCAGATCAGAAGATGCTGTGTTGGCCACACAAGCTTTGGCCTCAGCCCTCTGAGTAGAAGCAGGGAAGTTAGACAAGGCGAACTCACAAGGTTGGTCCGCTCAGCCATGTTCTTACTCCAGAACTCCCTGTATCACCTGCTCAGTTCCCACACAAGTGATGACTTCTAGAGTTTCTAGGTGAGTGCTCCCAATTTCACTTCACATCTGTGTCTGTTCGCCTTGGAATGTGTCTGCTTCATCTGTGGACACGTCGCCCGTGAAGATGGAACTCTGCACGTCCTAGCTCCTGGAGACAAGAAACACCCCTGGACCTCCCCTGAGGGGTGCCGGATGGAGCCTTCCATGTAACGTCCACATGTGGTGTGGTCATACGCATGCATTCAGTGTAACATCTGCATGCAGTGCGGTCATATCACGCATTTGTGTAACATCTGAACACGGTGTGGTCATATGCACGCATTTTGTGTAACATCTGAATATGGCGTGGTCATATGTATTTCTGTGTAACTTCTGCACATGGCGTGTTCATATGCATGTATTCCATGTAACATCTGCACATGGTGTGGTCATATGCATGTATTTCACATACCATCTGAACATGGAGTGGTCATATGCATGTATTCTGTGTAATGTCTGAACGTGGTGTGGTTATATGCATGCACTCCATGTAGTTTCTGCATGTGGCATTGCCATATGCATGCATTCTGTGTGACCTCTGCAGGTGGTGTTATATGCAGGCATCATAGGGTCCTACTTTTGTGTCTGAGGAGCTCCCTGGAGGACCCCACAGCTGGGCCAGCAGAGAACCATCACCCCTGGGGCCCTACTGTGGTCCAGGTGATGTGGAATGGAGGTGTGGTGCACTCTGTCAGCTCAGGGCCCTACCTTTGGGTCCGTTTGACTTCTCTGTTGCTGTGATGTGCATATTATCAGAACACGAAAAATTCATGCCACTCAGGATTTGTGACTGGCCGCAGCACAGTAAGCAAAACCACTGGCCTGAGGATTTTTTACCCTGCAGGGATTTTGTAACTCTTTCCTCTCTCTGATGCCTTCAAACAGTAACCATAGAGTAGCCAAATAGTTGCCATGTAGGCTGCCTTCTGCCAACTGGAAATGTTTTTTCAGAAGCTCACACACCCTGGACAAATCCTTTCCTCTAGAATGAGTCCCTTGCTGTCTTTACCCAGGAATTCCGCTTCAGAAGAGGCTCCACAGAGCACTTGGAGAGAGGTCATATTGGCATCTGTGCTAGTGATTTTCATAAACCAAAACATTTACATAGAATAAATATCCAACAAAAACTAAATTAAGTGTATCCATACACAGGAGCATATGCAGTTTTAACTTGGTAGCACATTTGCTTAGAGACTTTCATATAACATATTGTTAGGTTAAAAATCCAGTTTCTGAACTTCATGCATCACATGGCCCTGTTTTTGTAATAAAACTGCATACATATTTACAGTTTATAAATAAATAAATAAATAAATAAACATATGTATGTATGTGTATAAAAATATATCTGAAAAGACACAAACCAAAATTGTAAAAGCACTTATACCTGGCTGGTGGGGTTACGAGTGACTTTTCACTTTCATTTTTAATATCTGTCTGAACTCTCTAGACTTTCACCATAGCCATACTTTATATTTCTTAAAACACACAAATGAAAAGCTAAACTTAGGGAAGAAAGAGCAATGGGTCAGACTTTCCCATCTGACATCTGATGATAGCTACATCATTCAGGCTGATTAATTAATAGATGTAGTGAGCATTTGCTAATCACTAAACTTACACCTACTTTTTGACATTTTAATACAAAGTGGTAAGAACCACATTGCTTAGTGTGTCTGCTGTTTGGCCCAAATGGCTAGACTAAAAAACTGAGTTAATGTCATTCTGCATGCATTTTTGGCTAATATATATCACCCCCCATGAGAAGAAAACTATGGAAAAATTACTTCACTCATTTTCTGAGTGGGGACACTGAAGTTTCTCAGAGAAGGATACCATTTTCTACACAGTGTTCATATCAAATGATTTTTGAATATTTACTACATACATAGCATTAAGATGCAAGCTTTTCAGACAGTTCCTTGACCACTTCCATTTCTGAGAATAAGACCTTGATTTACACCAAAATGTTTAATTTGACATAATATATTTCAGAAACATCAAATGGGTTAGTCTAGGTCTAGCCCCCCATCATCCTGAGGTTTTATTCTTTGAGTTCAAGACTACTCCTTGGAATAGACCCCAAGACTGCCCTTCAGGGGCTTGGAATTAATATTCCCATGTGCTCAGCAAGTACGGGGCAGGTTGGGTGAGGTGGCGTATAAACTCCATAGTGATCATAGAAACTGTGTGTTTAAAAGCTGCCTC